ATCAGTATCAGTTTATTGAGGGAAAGATAGGCGAATGCCTTTGAACTCCTTGTTGGTAACAAGATGATAGGGAACAAAAGGATACAAAGAAAACTGTAAAAATTACGTCAATTACATGCTCCGGGTAGGCACAAGAGTTTTTAGGCAGTGGTCTTAGTGTTTCTTTTGTTAAAGCAATATGTTTTACGTCCTAACGATGGTGAAGGGCGAATGAGGTCACGAAACGAGCCGTTAAGGCAGAACAGATAACCCAACGAGACTTTCCAGTGAAAATAAGGCAATTGCGCAAATGTCTTTTGATAAGTCTAGGTACAAAAATAAACTACCGGGAAATCCTAATACAATAGGATTTAATGGGGATTGATTGCATTCAGAGGTTGGCCTGGATGACTCCAAACGAAGACGGCGCAGACAGGAGCGTTGGGATCCAGAAAGGGCCTTGCCAGAGACGGGAATGAAACGGCCTCAACTCGCACCGTTATTTATGTTCTTGCCATGGCGATCTTCGTAAAGATCGTCGAGATGGCCGTTGGAGCGCATGTAAAACAAAAAAAAAATAGTCTACAATTATTCCTAGCATTTGCTATTTATTCATTGTTATTAAGTTAAATGCAGGGTGTCCCAAAAAAATGTACACACATTTTACCTATTTGTAAAATTGAGGTTTACCATAATTTTATTATTAAATAAATGTCAAGGTATTTACAAGTACCATTTTATCGTTTTTATCACTGAATGATCTCAAACTGACGTCCATTTTGATCACGACACTGCTGACAACGGGAAACAATGGAATCGCACACACCTTGAAACAATTCCCTTGGTATTCGGGTACATTCATGTTCGGTAGCTTATCTCAATTCAACCACAGTTGCAATAGTCAAAATGCAGTGAAAAAAAATAAAATGATGCTTTTAAATATTTGTACGTTTTTGAAATAACAAAATTATAATAAACACAACGTTTACAATTACTAAAAATGTGTATACATTTTTTGGGACACTGTATAAAC